CAGTCAACGCCCGCGGCGACACCAACGAAGGCACCGGCGCTCCAGGCGCATGGGGCTCCTCCTCGTCCCCCGCTCCCTTCTCTGCCGACGCCGTCCCTTCCCTTCGCGCTCCTGTTCCCCGTTCCCCCTCCTCACCTCCCCACCTCCTCCTCCTCCTCCTCCTGCTCCTCCTCCTCCTCCTCCTCCCCCTTCCCACCTCCCCCCTTCCCCTCGCCACCTCTCCCATTGCCCCTCCCCTTTTTCCCCCAGTCTGCAGGCCCAGCCTCGGCGCGCGCGCGCACGCAGCGGTGCGTGCTCGCGCGCGCGCGCGCTCCTGTGCGCACGCGCGCGCAGGCGCGCCCCACAAGAGCCCTTGCCGAACACCCAAGTAAGCTCGCTCTGAGCATCTTCCTAGGGAGGGCTCAGGGTGAAATCCATATGGGCCTTTGCGCCTCGAAAATCAATCCGTCTTGTGGTTTTTGCAGATCCAAGCCTCGAGAATCAATCGAAACGGCACTTCAGATTTCACCCTTTGTCCTCCACCCAGAGAAAATTCTAGGTCCTTGCTTGCCCCCTCCCCTGCAAAGCAATCCTCCTCCCCCAAACTCTGATGATGGATGGGAGGGGATATATTTCTTGAGCCAAAATATGGCGACGGTGCAAGAACTCATTCTCTGTCTTCAGCCTGGCCCTGGGAATACCTGCTAGGGTACCCCTCTGAATTGTCACATATCCGAACACCTCTCCTCAGGCATGGAGCGGTGAAGGGCCGAAAAACTGCATCGCTACTTCCAGTCTCGGTGATCACTCCGAGATCTTCCGCAACGGCGTGCAAGCCGTCTCCAACAGCACCAAATGACTCTCCAGCACCTGCTTCGTGAGCAGGAGGCGTGGCTGCACAGAACAACTCAGACCAGCCTTGGAAAGAAGGGCACGAACGCGCTCTAGGCGCTCTGCCTGCTCCACAGTAGGGCTCGCGCCAGCCGAGATGATCATCTCAATCAGGCGCTCCTTCCTCACTGAGCCCACCCCAAGGCCGATCTTGTTCGCACGAGCCGTAGCCCGTAGGTCAGGCACTGTCAGCCTTGAAAGAACTAGCTGCACTCTCGCATCTCCGTCGCTTGCGGTCTGCTCAGGAGCTGCACTGTCATCAATCAGCGTCTCTGGACGCTCGTGGCAAACCGCGGTGGAGCACACTCGGGCTCCAGCACAACAGCCTACTAGAAAAGAGAGCAGCGCTATACTCAGAGCCATCACGATCAGTAGCCAGGGCGCGCCTTTGGCGCCCGCCTCCGTCTCCTGGCCGCGCGCCGTCGGTAGCAGCGCGCTCACCGCCACTGCTCCGAGCGGCACGAGCCGCAGGTTCATGGTCGCCATGTGCTTGTACAGGGTCTCGGATTCCACGTACTTCGTGAGGATGTCCGCGACCATCTCAGTGGTCGCTTCTTTGATCAACTCTAGCTGTCGCAGTCGGACGCGGTCCTGTAGCCAGAGGTACCGCAGCTCGAGGTGGCGCACCTTTCCCACGCCGTGGCGTTGGCAGATCCCTCTGCCTGCAGCACTGTCGCTGGCCACGACCAGGCGCGCGGTGACGCCCACCTCTCCGAGGAAGTGCTTCGCCTGCAAGCCCCGTGCGGCACCACTGCCGATGGCGTAGAACTCAGACTCCCCCGACGACAACGCCTGCGTAGCCTGGCTGACTGCGAACGCCTCGACCGTGTGGCCTCCGAAACGAACAACTCCTCCAGAGGTCGACGTCCTGAATAAGCTAGTCGTAGACGCCCAGTCGGCATCCGCGTCCACGCGCAGAACCTCTGGCAAGTCCTGGAGCTCATAGCACCACAGCAGCCTCGGTGCGCCCTCGTAGTACCTGCACAGGCGGTGCAGGCGTGCGTTCATCAGGACGTTTGGCTTACTAACGTGCTGCATAATCGTCTTGGAGCTGAACATAGCGTCAGGCCTGTCGCTCGAGACATACAGGCTCAGTCCCGCCGTTGACGAGGTCGACTTGGCCTCGGCCACGGGCAGTGGGTCCAGGGCATTCCTCATGCCTGCCCCCGTAGCCTTTGTTCCAGGGGTAGGCGCAGCCTTGGAGCCCGACTTGTGGCCCCGGCGGATGAGCTCTTCCACGTGCTTCGGATCAGCACTCCAGTAGAAGCCTGACATCCTGGTCTCGGGCAGCTCGCTCGTGTAGCCCACTATGCGCTTCAAGTAGTTCAGCTCACCTGGGTAACCTGGGCCTATGCTCTCGGATTCGGTGACCTCGAAGTTCGCCCCCAGGAAGTTGCCAATGGCGTCAAGGGTGTCGCGGTGGCCCTCCGCCAGGAAGTCATCGCCGTGGCAGCACATCGTTGCGTCCATGCCGTCACCCACTAGGTTCTCGAAGTGGTAGGTGCCAGCTGTGCCCTTCAGCGGTTTGCCTCCCGCGTCGTCGATCGCTGCCTTGCTCGTCTCGCCCCAGAGCTGTGAGGCCTTCCTCGTCCCGTTCATCGCCTTGTGCAGGACCCAGCAGAAGCCTTTA